AGGAATAGGGAACCTTTTAAAAACATGAGAGCAACAATCAGTGCAACCACGCCAGGCGGGACAGGGCTTGGACCAACCTGAGATGTGGAAGGTGTCCTTGCCCATGGCAGGGGGTGGAATGGGATGAGCTTTAACCTTTAACCCTTCCAACACAAACTATTCCATGATTCTATGAAGTTACCACTTGACAACACGTTTATGCAACTAAATTTAAGCCATTATGGGAGAATAAAGGATAAACCCAGGACCAAATATTGTGAAGGATGACAAAAGTCTGAGGCTAGAATAAAATACTTACCAGACTTCGGAGTAGTCATCTCTGCTGAAGTGACACTTCTGGAGAAAGGATTTGGCCCTTCAGAAAAAAAGAAAGGGGTACATATTTAAATGCCATAAAATGTAACAGCATAACTTCTTTAAAAACTACCCTCAAACAGACAAGTCAGTCAGGATGGGGCTCTGAGCAACCTGGGCTAGTGGAAGGTGTCCCTGCCCATGGCAGGGGGTGGAACGAGATGGTCTTTAAGGTTCCTTCCAACCCAAACCACTCTGTGAATTCTATGATTACAGTAAAGCAATCTGTATTTTAAAGTGTGAATTTTCATTTTCAAATTGTACATAGACTTTCATAAAACCATCTGTTATCTCTACCTACATTTAGAGTTGCATATTTATTCCTTAAAGCTGATTCCATAAAGTATGCCCAGCAAACTCCTTGTCTATCAATTCAACTCCTGCAGGACTTGAGCTGAAACCAAATCAAGTGCAATGCACAATCAAGCTGTGACACAGCAGGTGACATGCACTGAACTTATTTCTCTGCAGTGACTGCAGGCACAGGCTGGAATACAGACCCACTTAATTCCTTACTAAGTCTGTAAAAGTTATCTAGACAACTCCCAGCCTACACAGAGAATATATTTTTCTTACTCTGTTTATGCACTTCTGGGGTTTCTTCTGCTTCCTCACAGGCATCAGTTTCTGTGACACAGCAGGTGACATGCACTGAACTTATTTCTCTGCAGTGACTGCAGGCACAGGCTGGAATACAGACCCACTTAATTCCTTACTAAGTCTGTAAAAGTTATCTAGACAACTCCCAGCCTACACAGAGAATATATTTTTCTTACTCTGTTTATGCACTTCTGGGGTTTCTTCTGCTTCCTCACAGGCATCAGTTTCCTCAGTCCATTTCTTTTTTTTGAACATTCCTGACTGGCAGTCGACTCCACTCCGTGGCAGAACTGCTGTAACTAAATGGAAGGAATTCAGAGGAAAGGAAGTGGTCACCACATTCAGAAGGAAAACTGGAACAACAGATAGCAAACTTACATAATTTAGGAAATAAGAACAATAACATTTAGAATTTATATCTATCATGCCTCTAATTAAACTGTGATGATTAAATTAAAGATTCATTAACCACTTCAGAACTTTGTTGCCAGAACACATTGCCATGAATATAAATGCAAATATTAAAGACCTTCTGTAATCTCCATTTAAACACATCTACCTCCAAAATCCCCAATAGTATCAGGTTACTTTCCTGCATCCACGAATTAACACTAGGTGGTCACATGGAGAGTTTCAGACTGAAGATTAGGCAGCAAGTTTTAATGTTTAACCTGATTATAATCCAAATTCCCAGGAGAGCAGGATGTATATTTCTTGCATTTCCCTCCTGATCTTTGCTGATTACTAAAATCTGTACATCAACATGGATTCTGTAAACATATACATCATCTGTATAAACAACACATCTATACAGACTTGGGATTACAGACTCCACACATGCTCCAGAGGAACAAAACTCAGCATTTAGAAATGAGTTCTGACTGCACAGTTGCACACAGAGGAATAAGGAAAAGGGCTACAGATAAGTTCAGGGACTTCTCATTTCCTCTTGCTTAAATAAGTCCTAGACTTCATACATAAAACTGCCATAGGAGCTGCTTCCCTCAAAATGTTATGACATAAATAAATACATAATATTAATATAAATTTGATATAGACAAGAAACTCCAGTTAAACAAAAAACACCAAAAAAACCCAAACCCCACACCTTTGGCCTCAGCATGCTTTACAAAGCAGATGCAGGTAGGAGAGGAAAGGTAAGACAGCAGAGATACAGAGGGAAAAAGAATTCAAAGCCAAGTTGTAGTACATTCCACAGCTTTGAAGAGCCAGAATTAGTTACGAGGGAGTGAGACTGAACAGGATACACTGGAATGGGATACTGAAAAAAGGGAAGGCTGGAGAAAGATAGGATTTTAAGATAGGTGTGGAGTGAATCAAGACTGAGAGACTGAGACAAAGAGAAGAAAAATAGGTTGGAGTCAAATAGCCAAAGCAGCACAAGCTAGGGAAAGGTGGGAATAAAACCAGTTCCAACCAGAGCCACTTGGTATTGAGCCTGTTTTGCCTCTGGAGCTGTTGAATATAGAGATGCAGGAAGCAAGGAGTGGAGATATTTCCCTCTGTGCCTACAATCCTCACAAGATATAGAATCACAGAATGCTAAGGGGTTGGATTGGACCTTAGAGATGATCCAGCCCCAACCCCCTGCCCTGAGCAGAGACACCTCCCACCAGAGCAGGTTGCTCAAGCCTTTAGCCAACCTGGCTTTGAACACTGCCAGGGTTGAGGCAACCACAGCCTCCCTGGGCAACCTGTGCCAGTGTCTCACCACTCTCACAGGAAAAAAAACTTCCTAACATCAATAATGTACCATCTACATGTACAACTTCGAGGAGAGCAACACAAACTGTTAATTCCTAACAAATAAACCCCAAACTATGGTGCAGAGAAGTGCACCAAAAGCTTAACAGAGTAGTAAAACCATTCCCAGCTTTCAGTCACAGAAGTTTGTGTTACCCAGCACTCAAGTGCCTTCGGAAATCCTCTTCCTCCTCTTCATCTTCCTGTGCTGTTGCCAACTCACTTGCTTTTTCCGCAGCCATCTCGCTGAGGCGCTGAGCTAAGTTTAGCCGCCGGGAGCGAGAAGCATATTTGATAGCTAAACTCACAACATTCTGTGTCATGAGGTCAGCAAGTTCCACAGAGCGAAATTCACGCTCCAGTTTACAAGAAAGCTGGAAGAGAAGAAGCCCAGAGAGTTAAACACTTCAGTCACACAGCTCTCTCCTGGGTCTAGGAGAATACTGTGATCTTGTTGGAGTGAAGGAATAAAGACAAACCACCAACAATGATGAGACTCCTAATAAGAAGAATCACATCAATGTTTACATCCAATTCCAATTTCTAATAAATCATAGAATCCCAGAAAAGTCTGGGTTGGAAAGACCTTAAAAATCATCTCATTCCAACCCCCTGCCATGGGTAGGGACACCTTCCACTAGCCCATGTTGCTTCAAGCTCCATCCAACCTGGTCTTGAGCACCTCCAACTTCAGGGATAAAGTCTCAGGGATTCTTTCTGTTATGTGTTTGTACTTACAGCAAACAGCTTCATCAAAAGTTCTTGCTGCTCTTTCACTGCCTGATTTTTAGCATTTTCATCATACTCATAGCCATTTTTCAATAGGTAATCCATGTGGTTGTGAAATACAACTGAACGCCAGTACTGTTCCTGGAAAAGGGAGAAGGGTGTGCGTTGGAATTCAGAGGGGAAAAAAGCCCTCCCATGACATATAATGCCTAACAATTTACAATGTATTTTATCAACTTATACTTAAATATTCCTTTCATCTTATAATGAGGTTGATGGGTAGACAATTCCCTTTAAATCCAATGCCTCCTGAGGAAAAAATAGACCACACTAACAGCCACCCATATAAAAACTGATCCAAACAGCTGCCATATATATTCAAAAAAAGCCCTCCCATGACATATAATGCCTAACAATTTACAATGTATTTTATCAACTTATACTTAAATATTCCTTTCATCTTATAATGAGGTTGATGGGTAGACAATTCCCTTTAAATCCAATGCCTCCTGAGGAAAAAATAGACCACACTAACAGCCACCCATATAAAAACTGATCCAAACAGCTGCCATATATATTCAATTTGTAG